CTCCCCACACACACAAAACCCTTTTCCTAATAAGGTTGAGAATTCCATCGACTACCTGCTACCTCCCACCAGCACAAGTAACTCTTCCTACCAAGATCTAAAATCATCACCTTTGTCTGCGCTAGGAGTTGAACCCTGATCTCTGAGGTCTGCATTTACCTCATTAACCACTAAGCCCCACCATTTGGTGCAAAAAGACATTCACCACTCAACGCGTCACATCAGGTTGAGGCAAAAAAAGTATCAGATAAAAAATTCATATTATGCTATCATATCCCTCGCTCCCAAAACTATTTTCCTAATAAGGGTGAGAATTCCACTGACTACCTGCTACCTCGCACCAGCACAAGTAACTCTTCCCACCAAGATCTAAAATCATCACCTTTGTCTATGCTAGGAGTTAATCCTGATCTCTGAGGTCTGCATCTACCTCATTAACCACTAAGCTTCACCATTCGGTGCAAAAAGACATTCACCACTCAACAATCAAAGTGCAATAGCAATTGATCATAACTCATCGAGGCGTGTCACATCAGGTTGAGGCAAAAAAAAAAGTATCAGATAAAAAATCCTTATTATGCTATCATATCCCTCACCCCCAAACCCCCCCAAAACCCTTTTCCTAATAAGGGTGAGAATTCCACCGACTACCTGTTACCTCCCACCAGCACAAGTAACTCTTTCCACCAAGATCTAAAATCATCACCTTTATCTATCTAGGAGTTGAACCCTAATCTCTGAGGTCTGCATCTACCTCATTAACCACTAAGCCCCACCATTTGGTGCAAAAGACATTCACCACTCAACGCGTGTCACATCAGGTTGAGGCAAGAAATGTATCTGATAAAAAATCCTTATTATGCTACCATATCCCTCGCCCCCAAAACCTTTTTCCTAATAAAGGTGAGAATTCCAATGACTACCTGCTACCTCCCACCAGCACAAGTAACTCTTTCCACCAAGATCTAAAATAATCACCTTTGTCTATGCTAGGAGTTGAACCCTGATCTTTGAGGTAAACCCCGCCATTTGAGTGGTGCAAAGACATTCACCACTCAACAATCAAAGTGCGATAGCAATTGATCATAGCTCATCGAAGCGTGTCACATCAGGTTGAGGCAAAAAAAAGTATTAGATAAAAAATCCTTATTATGCTACCATATCCCTCACAGCAAGTATAACGGAAATTACTTTTTGACCCACTAAAATATTCTGCTCAACAGAGGAAAGCCAAGGAGCCAGCTCCAGTCATACGTAGATTGGAGAAGGATCTATGTGGACCACAGAATAACACGTACCATATTTGACATGGGGTCACCCAATAACAAAAACATACACCACAAGACTAGAGGGGCCAAGGATTGCATTTGCAAGCAGGGCCACCTTCATACAAAACACAGGTCAGCAGGTAACAATTTTAAGTTCAACCACAAGTACAGATCTCATCGGATTAACAGCTATCATTCCCACATTAATAAAATTGGTAAGTGGACTGTTGTAAGAATATTACATCGCAATGTTGCCACAATTTTCTGCAATCTCTTGGTCTATAACCGAGGCACACTAAATATAACCTACAAAATATAGAATATCCTGCAGGCAGCATAAGCATATAAAAAAGAACTAGTTATTGACAGCAGAATTCTCAAATCCTGCAACAAAAGAATGCAACCAACTGCCATTTGCATTACCTAAAAACCCCTAGACAACAGAGTCTGGACTCCACATGCTTGACCAGCTGATACAATCTTTTTGAAAAAGCTTACTTCCAATTTGCCAAAAAAGGACTACAGCTCCGATGGGAAACCGGCAGATCCCAGAATCCTTGGTATCACCCCCAAGAATCACAAGAAAATTTTAGATCCATATGGAGGGGTAATATCATTTTGAAATAAAGATCCGACAGTGAAAAACAATCCTAAGGAACTAGTAAAGTTAGACCTCTGTATAACAGCATCACTATATAACAATCATTCACTATAAAAGTCAAGTTTCTTTGGAACCAATTTTCATGTTATGTTATAATATATGTTCTTTGTAACAACACTTAGCTATAACAACCAAAAAAATCTAGAATAGATGAGGCTGTTATAGAGGCGTTTGACTGTAATTAAGGAGACAAGCAAGCAGCAGCCGATCAAGAGAACATCCCTGGAGAAGAGAGAACTTGAAATCACAGTCATGATTAGTTTGTCATTTCCTGAATTAGCCTAATTAAATTAATCAATGTTAAGCTGATCACTTTCACGTGAATTTAGACAATCTGTTCTCTTCTCTAAAGATACCATGCATACAAGGTGTACAAGTGCAGGGAAAATTCAAATTAATCAGTTAACTACATATTTGACTTTGACAAAGCCAGCCAGACACAAACTGTGTTCTAGCTACTGTGCAGAGTCACAGAAACAATAAAATGAGAAGTGCAATAAGCCTATTGGAGCTTATATTTTCAAGGAACCAAAGTAAGAAAAATCTGAGCATTCATCATCAAGCAACGGTTATAAGCCGGAGAGGAGTCCGCATACTTTTATAGAGTTCATGTCAAAGATAGACATTAACTCTAAACATCTTGTTACAGGGAATGGCAACAAAACAAAAACTAACAAGAGCTGGAAATATTGGATACTGTTTAAAAAAAGAAGTAACATGGGCAAGAGGCCAGCCAACCTTCCACCAGAATAGTTGCTTCTGAAAAGGCCTTAGATACTCAAAATCCAATTAGTTGTAACAGACTGGTAACTCACATCTTAAGTGACTCTCGTGTTGCTATGTGATAATAGACAATCTTCTGCAGCTCCAGTTATGCAACCACGTTGCAAATTTCAGAAGATAAACTGTTGAGTACACACTTCAGTATGGTACCTCAAGTACTTGTTAGAAGTTTCTTACCTGCAAAGACTTCACTTGCAGGCAAATGTACCGGACATGCCTATTACATCACTCTAATGCACGCTAATGTCTTCATATCCTGAAGCTTAAATGAAGGGAATGACGACAGAACAAGAACTAACAAGAGAATGGAAATTTTGGAACTGCTAGGAAACAAATAAAGGTCCGGTTTGGAAGGAAAACCAGGTGAAAGAAGTCCCGGCCAACAATTTTTCACATTGTTTTCATTCCAAACGCCACCTGAATATCTGGAGTAACCACCCCTTTTCCGAGGCTAATAGTTTATAAGACAGCCTCAGAAACTGAAATATCCAATAATTCGAAACTGGTAGGATGTACTCTGAGATAGACAACAATTCTGTATTGTGAGGATTCATATTCTGAGACAGAAATTGGAAAATATCAACTAATTAAGATATCCAAGCCAAAACACTANAGAGTTCACTGTAGTGTAGAGGTATGACAGGAGGAGAGAGACCTGTGCTGAACAAATTATAATTCCCAGCAACCAAAGAGCCAAAATGATCATGAATACATAAAGAGTGATAGAGCTAACATATAAAGCAACAGGATCTATACAAGTAAGTTAAAATTCATTTCCAGGACAAACTCACAGTGAAGAATTAACCAACGTAATATACGGACTGAAATGAGACCAAACCAGGAAGAGGGGCAAGAAAGATAGAAATAGAAAATGAGATCGACTCCCAGCGTTCAAACTCCTTCACAAAACTTTAAATTGCAGGGTTCATAATACTACAAAATATACTTGCCTAAGAAAAGTATTTATTGTTCAAGCTGTACAATCTTTAACCAATATGTAAATTACTCCCATCCTAGCTCATGTACTGCCTATGCTAATAATCACATACATTGATGGCAATGGATTTTGAGAGTAGCCTCTCCAAACAAGGAGAAAAGCCAGCCTGATAAGCACGAAACGGTGTCGTCTATTTTTCTCCGTTAGTTAAAAATATAAGCAGGAAATTGCTGAAGGCACATTAAGGGTATCTCATGACACCCAGAAAAGTTACCAACAAAACTTTGGTGCCTCAAGAAACAGTTCGCCCATAACAGACAGATGCAAGGTAAAGATTTTTTGCCCATTTCTCCTGCAGCGAGCAAAATCAATGGTTAACTCTGTAACCAGGAGGCCAAAAAAACGAGAGAATGACAAAAGGAGTGGATCATGTTAAGAAAAGCATAATTGATTAAATAAACAACCTTGACATGAGTGCTAGGAAAAGCAGAAGTACGAAGGGTCTCTTGTGTTTCATCTGCAGGTTTCCTTCTTGGAACACTTAGAACAAGAGCAGCTTGATCCCATGTGGCTGCAGTCGATGTGATCCTATAACCAGCATCCCATCTCCTATGGATCCCTTCACTAGGATAGAGAAAATCTAATTCCACGACCTGCAAATTATATAAAGCATTAATATACCCAACTCCAAATTTGAAGAAAATAGCAAGTGACCCTATAAATAAATAAAATAAAAATAAAATCCATGATAAAAACCTGATCAGAGAACCCAGCCCCACGAGACATAACAATTGCCCATCTATTTCCTGCAGTTGCCATGGCAGTGACATAAAACCCCTCTTTCCATTTTTTGTTTATCCACTTGAATGGAAAAGACTCGCTGACTTTGTATGATTGCTGCAGATACTGGGTACCTGACATATTACCAACAAAACTAGGTTTAGTCTGCTCTAATTTACAGATTATGGTGCAAAACATGTATAGCATGTTATCAAAGATACACTAACCCTTTGACATGATAACTAATGAGCTCCCATTATTAGCTCCTGCTATGGCACTAATATAATAATTCTTCTCCCATTGCTCCATAATCCATTCCTATGTTTAAACATAAACAGAGGGAATTAGCTAAAGCCTGAAGGAGTAAACTGAATTATGCATAAGTTTACTATAGGTATAGCACATTAGACATGCAAATATACAACATAATTTAATTTGAACATGCTTCAAGATTAACCATTCATTGGGACATGAGAGACCTTGTGAAGAAAAAGAGGTGACAGTTCATAAACTTGGGCACTAAACCCAGTCCCCGCATCCATGATTAGGGCCCACAAGTTCGAACAAGATGCCACACTGCTGATAAATAGTCCGTCCTCATTTCCTTTCTCGATGTGCTGAGCTAGCCTCATATCAGCAACGTTATAGTGATACCTGCAAGCCCAAACAGTGTCACTGCATTGTTCACAAGCTCAAATCAAAGATATTTCGGCCAAACTGCATATACCTTTGCTTCATTGGGCGCCGAGCATTGTAAACACTGATCCATTGTGTCGCAGGCATTCCCATGCGAACCTTCTTCTTTGGCTGTTCATCATCATCTTCTTCCAATGTCAATCTTCCTCTTTTCTGCCCAACTTGGTATATAAGCTTTAGAAAATGAAAAACACGTTAGCAAAATTCTACTTCTGCTGCTGATTCTTCAACATAAAGAGAAGCCTGCAATAAAGATATATGCAAATAATACCTACCTTCTGTGCACCATCAGTGTTGATTGGCCTGATGTCCGGATTTGGACCTACTACTCCATCAAACAAGGAGATATATTTAGCATAGTTAGGCTCCTCGTCAAACTTCAAGTTCACAACATATTCCACAAACTGTCTAAACGGAGCAGGGCAGAAGCAGCAAAGAGTTTCTGGAGAAGTTGCCATCTTTTTCTTACAGACAAGGAAACCTTTGTTCTCGCCCTACACACAAAATAAATGGTGTCATCGCAAGGAGATATTTACAAGTAAAATGCCGCTATTAAGTTGAGAAAAATGAAAACCTGGTATCCCTGCCAAGGCAGCCGGCCTCGGAGAAGAAAGACGAGAGTGTAAGCCAGCGACTCTAAATCATCCCTTCGGCTTCCAGTCCTTCCAAGGTGAGCATGCACACTAGCATACCTTACAGTTCCTCTGAGGCAATGGTTCTCTTGATCGTCAGTGGCCACAGACACAAAACAAATGTAGCCAAACATAGAGATAAGACAAATAGAAGTACTGAATATTGTACCTAAAGACATCAGGCCGTTGATCATATTCCACATGTAAGCCAGTAGAAGTATCACGCCACCTTGTTGCTGGAGCATTCAAACAGATTGATCAGCATGACCATATTATGCAGAATAGAGCATGATGAAGATTCCAAATCGAAAGACAAAATTCTTCTTTTCTAATTTTAATTTACTCACCTAACCCAAGGTCAACAAGAAACAATTTTTTCTCATCAGGAGTTCCAGGAGTTCCAAGAAGAAAGTTTTCAGGCTTTACATCTCCATGCACATACCTTCAAAACAATATAAGTGAGACAAACCAATCAGATCAATTAAACATTGTTTACCTATTGTGCCTCTTGTTTTTTGTTTTTCTTTTCGGGGAGGTCAGAATAGACAGTGTAAGTCATAATGCCCAGAATTTGTAACTATCTAAAGATAGAAAACAGCTTCCTATATGTAATATGCTAGGAACTGCTGATCTACGCATGACGTACTTACCCTCTGGAGTGCAATTTCTCGAGTATGGAAATTGCTTCAATGGCAATGCATGCTACCATTTCAATAGACATCCTAAATCAAAAACATAAAAACCAAAAGGCTGGCGTTGAGGTCCAAGGAACAGCAATATGTTTAAAGATAAGAATGTTCTATAATACTATAAATAATAAATAAAGAATAGATCTTACGCATGGGAATTATTGTTCCAAACATCCCACAAACTAGGACCAAGCATATCCATAACCTGCAATTTGATTACAGGAATTCAGCAGTTCAAATGGAGATAGGAATCAACTGCAACTTGAAACGAATGATAAAATAACCCCATTACACTGCAGATGACATACCATAATATAGTAATCACCTTGACGTCCCTTGTAATGTACACGTGGTATACCATGACTACCACCAAGGGCACTAGAAGCAACAGCAAAGGGCATCAACTATTAGAAAATCTTTTGTTACCAGATATCAATAATATAAAAAGACAAACAGAAAGAACAAGTGTTAAATGACCACATACTTGTAGACCTGCCACTCATAAGGTGGTCCATAGTTACAACCTTTGCTGCTTCTGTGCTCGAATTTCAAGGCAACCTAGAACCAGAAATGATAATTTCATCATATGCATAATTAAGAGAATCATCATCAGCATACAACAAATAAAACAGTAAATAATAGGAAAAAGTAATGGTGTACCTCGAAAGCTCCTGGGCCAGTTCTTTCATGTGGATTTGGTGGGTTTGCACGACGACCCACATACACTTGACCAAATCCTCCTTTACCAAGTTTCCTATCAATCCTATAAGCTGGTGATCCACCAACCTGGACCTATTGCATGCAAAAGGAAACAATGTAATACAACAATCAAATCAAATATTTCAATGTAAAACCAGGGAGGAAGTGAACAGCTGGAAGAAAAACAGTATAATATCTCCATGTTGACGGGACTAGAGACCTAATAACCCCAGCAACCACAAACAAATATATCAGAACCAAAGTTAGTGACGAATAACTAATAGAATAGAAAAATATATGTGTCTATTTGTGTGTGTGATGTCACAACCCAAACTAGGGGCCATTCCCTGCACTCAGTAGGTTAGACCCTACCAAAGCATCTCAACCCAGCCCATACTCAGCCTGTCCTTCAATTCCCATAAACAAAACCTCAAAACAACAAATTCTCACTGAGAAAACTGACGATAAAATTCAAAGGAGGCAGAACAAACATAAGGTATAAACCAGTAATCTAAGTGCAGTCCCAAATACACCCTAAAAGACTATCTTTCCACAGTAAACACAATAGTACTGCAAAACGTTTTTCACCAATTGCAGATAGAAGTTCTATGCCGTGATGGTGCAAAAAATAATTACACAATCAAGTCACTTTTAGATAATTACAGGTAAATCTCTTAACTAGCATTAATTGATAATCTAGTAACAAAGAATAACTAACCTAATATCACAAGTTAAAATTCACTATCTTTACACTGGCAGTATATATAACTTAAAATCCTTTTAAAAAAGCTATAAACTCGGACCTAGAAATCTGCAACCTCGTGACTTGCAGAGTACAGACTGAAAATCACATGGTCAATTTAATGGAAATCACACAATTATCTAACTTAAGAGACAAATTTGTTAAATGAAAACAGAGCATAAATAAAATATAGTAATACCCTTTCAGGCAGTGGAGCAGTGCTGCCTTCATCCTCAGCAGCCAAATTCTTATCGCCGCCGCTTTGGCCGCCTCCACTATCATACTCATCCATCTGTTTTTCTCCTACTTCTTCTTCCTCCTTCTCTACTTCCTTCTTCTCCTTATCCTCTTCACCGCCAGACGCTGTTTCCTTTACAGCATTCTCATCATCTACTGGTAAAATTACTTCTTTAACCTCCTCGTTATTTGTATTTTTCTTCTTCCTTCCTCCAACTACTCTATTTCCTGGCGCTCGCCTCTGTCTCGTAGTCCGTGCGACAGTCGCTCGCCTTGTAACTCTCTTGTTGTTGTTGTTGTTGTTGTTAGGTTCTGCTTCAATCGGTCGACGGCCTCTGCGCACTCCACTACGCAGTTGAGGCATATCGATCATCCATCAACTTGACAAAACCCTAAATCGACCTTCAGCGATCAGGCTGCCTTCGAACTTCTAGAATCTTCCACTACCTCACACCACCACCAACGGATCTTCGAGGTATAATCGGAATTATATCAATTGAAGCTTTAGGAGATCTGTGGAGAGAGATGATGAAAACAATGGCTCCAAAACAACGTGCTTTGCCTCAAGAGAGACGATGAAAGTGATGAATTAAAGAGAAGGCAAATTCTGGTTCTTCTCTTTGATTTTTGTAAATTTATTACTCTTATAATTTTATTTTGTTTTCCTTTTCTTTAATTACTCTTTAATTTTATTACTCCTATTGGCGATAAGTTTTCTCCACTTTTTCCGGGGAAAAGAAAATGAAAATATTGTTTGGTTATAAAAGGTGATGAGTTTTTGGACAATTTTTTAAGATTTTAAATTTTTCGCTCACAAAATTTTAACTTTTCTCTCAAGTAAAATACATGTATAAATACAATTTCAACTTTCAAAAATTATTTTTCATCTCATCTTCATCTTCAAAGACATTCAACCAAATCTAAATCTGAACTAACTTAGTGACTCAGTTAGTTGGCTACCTTAACTACAAGATAAATTTTCACCTTGTAATCCCCTCCCTTATTTCCCTCCCATATCCTTAATTTTTTTTCAAAATACAATATATAGTTTGAATTAGCATATATTTTAAATATTTTAAAAATTTATGATAAAAATTATATAATATTTATGTGCTTATAAAATTTTGAAAATTGTGGTTTTAATATGTGATAACATTTATATTGTCACGATCCGAAATTTTTACCTTCGGACAGTGATGGCGCCTAACATTTCACTTGCTAGGCAAGCCAACGTTAGAATAATATTAACCATTTTAAAATAATTTTTAAATTTATCAATAACAAAGAAATAAATGTTGAAGTAAAGTCTGAAATATAGTGAATAATCCATAAAAAGAACGGTGTCTAAATACCATCCCAGAATTGGTGTCACAAGTGCACGAGCTTCTAGAATAATACAAATAAAGGTCTGAATAAAATAAAGTTGCCTAGAAACAAACACACAGCTAAAGTAAAGTAGACGGGGGACTTCAGAACTGCGGACGTCGTGTAGTTATACCTCAAGTCTCCTCTAGTAGCTGAAATCTGAGCAAGTCCATGGTACGCCGCTGGGACCAACTCCGAAACCTGCACAAGAAGTGCAGAGTGTAGTATCAGTACAACCGACATCATGTACTGGTAAGTGTTGAGCCTAACCTCGACGAAGTAGTGACGAGGTTAAGGCGGTTCACTTACATTAACTTGTACGCAATATTAGTAACAACAACAAATAATAGAAATAAATCAGATAACTCATTTATAATAATTGAAGTCAACTCAGAAGTTATAACTCATTATTATTTCAACCAATTTTCGTTGTAGCGTGTAAACCGCTCCCACAATATATTCATATTCAATCCTCTAATATATTTGTTTTAGTCAAATATATATAGACTTTTAACAAATCTGTTGCAGCGTACAACCTAATCCTCCAATATGGACTTTTTAATAAGTTTGTTGCGGCGTGCAACGTGATCCCCCAATATATTCATTTCAATCAATTCTATTACGTATATGGACTTTTTTTAATAAGTCTGTTGCGGCGTGCAACCCGATCCCCCGATATATTCATTTCAATTGATTATATTACGTATATTGACTTTTTAATAAGTCTGTTGCGGCGTGCAACCCGATCCCCCAATATATTCATTTCAATCGATTCTGTTGCGGCGTGCAACCCGCTCCTCCAATATATTCATTTACCAATTCTTATAGAAGAAATTGCCCCAATAAATACAACAATTAATATAAAATTTTAAGACAATAAGCATAGAATAATTATGATTTAATTATGAAACAAACAATGACAAATAACAATTTATTATGAAAATCAGGGAGAAAATAGGTAGCTTAATGTTTAATATGCTAAATGTCAAGTAGCAATTAATACACATAATTCAAATAAGATATAACAATTAATGCATGAATTCAAGAATTAATATTTGACAAAGAATAGGATAGAAACAATTATTATAACAATTAATTCATGATTTAAAATAATTTATGATTTTTCAAGTAAATATGCAAACAATTAATTTGACGACGTATAGACACTCGTCACCTCGCCTATACGTCGTTCACATGCATTTCACATAACAAATTATTTAAGGATCATACTCCCTCAAGTCAAGTTTAACCACGACACTTACATCGCTTTGCAAATTCCAATCAATTACTCGACCAAAGCTTTTCCTTTTAAATTTGTCTCCAAAAGATTCAAACCTATTCACAAACAATTCGATATACTCAATACGAATCATAGGAATTAATTTCATATGAATTTAATAATTTTTCGGATAAAATTCAAAATTCATTTAAATATTCGACAGTGGGAGTCACGTCTCAAATCTCGAAAAAACTTACGAAATCCGAACACACGTTCCGATACGAGTTCACCAATACAAAATTTATCCAATTCCGATGTCAAATGAACCTTCAAATCTTAAATTTTCGTTTTTGGAAGATTTTATAAAAATCTAATTTATCTCTCAAAATTTCACGGATTTATGATATAAACGAGTATGGAATCATGAAATATAATCAATATATGATAAGTAACACTTACCCCACTGTTTTTTCGTGAAAATCGCCCAAGAATAGCCTTACCCGAGCTAAAAATTGGAAATGATTGAAAATGGGTCGAAACCCCATTTCTAAAACTTAAGTTATGTTTCTAAGATTTTTACCCTTCGCGAACGCGGCCAGTGCCTCGCGTTCGCGAAGCACAAATTTGTGCTACCCAATTTTACTCTTCGCGAACGCGAGGGCTACCTCGCGAACGTGAAGCTTACCTGGCTTGGCCTTCGCGAACACGAGATGCCCTTCGTGAACGCGAAGGCATATTTCCCTATTAGCCTCTTTCCCTTCGCGAATGCGAGGCTTCGATCGCGAACGCGAAGCTTCGCACCTCAAGCCTTCGTGAACGCGAAGCACAAAATGTGCCAGCCCTAATTTGCTCTTCGCGAACGCGAGACTCCCCTCGCGAACGCGATGAAGGAAACCAGAAGCAGGTTCCTGCAGTTTCCTCGGGTCCAAAATTGATCCGTTAACCACCCGAAACCAACCCGAGCCCTCGGGGTTCCAAACCAAACATGCACCCAAGTCCTAGAACATCATACGAACTTGCTCGCGCGATCAAATCGTCAAAATAACACCTAGAACTACGAATCGGACACCAAATCAAATGAGGTTTTCAAGAAAACTTTAAAACTTATATTTTTACAACCGGACGTCCGAATCACGTCAAATCAACTCCGATTCTCACCAAATTCGGCAGACAAGTCATAAATATTATAATGGACCTATACCGGGCTTCGAAACTAAAATACGGGCCCGGTGTCAATAAATCCAACATTAGTAATTTCTTAAAAATCATTAAGCTTTCAAGCTTTTAATTTTTCATCAAATTTTCATATCTCGGGTTAGGAACCTCGAAGTTCGATTCCGGGCATACGCCCAAGTCCCAAATCACGATACGGACCTACTAGAATTGTAAAAATACTGATCTGAGTCCGTTTGCTCAAAATATTGACCAAAGTCAACTCAATTGAGTTTTAAAGTTCTATTTCACCTTTTAATCCATTTTTCACATAAACACTTTCCGGAAGATTGTACGGACTGCACACGCAAATCGAGGAGTGATAAAATAGTGCTTTTTGAGGTCTTAGAACACGTAATTAATTATTAAATTTAAAGATGACATTTTGGGTCATCACATGTATAGTTATAAAATCTTTTTAATAAAGATAAAAAATAAAAATTTAATAATTTCCAAATTTAAAAATATATCATTTTTTGTAATATACTAAAAAGAAAAATATATTTCACAATTAAAAAGGAAGAAGTAGTTAGTGTGTGCTCAAAGAGGTGTTATTATGTGGACATATGAGTGGTAAAATAGTTAAAAGAAAACAGTTAACCACTCATATTGTTTACTAAAAATTAGAATGAACTTTTTAAAAATAGGTCAAATATGGATAAGAACCATATTATCCATTTAGAAAACGGATAACCAATAGATCTAACTTTTACATTTGTAATGTCTCAAACTGGGGGTTTCTCAAATTAGGGGCACTAAGAATTCTCCCAAAAGTGATTATATGCAAGAAGTCATAGATAATATGGGTAATATCCGCAGTTAACCCATTTTTTTATCCTTATTAAATATGAGTCAGGTCGGATAATTCAACCGCTTTTCATTATCCGTTTTCGACCCGAGCCATATCCGCCCGACCCGCCGGTTTGACACTCCTATGTGGACCCATCCTTTATTTCTTATTCATTAACTTCTCGAATAAACTACTTGTGATGATCGGGGCTTTTGGTGATTGTATTTCATAGTGGCGGTTGGCGAATGAGAAAACGGCAAATAATATAAGTGATTCTATTGGATGTAGTTTATATAGTTAGAAGGACTAATTACTTCAAATTTGTTCTCTTTTGTCAACTAAACCTAAGTTTAATAAAATAGTCTAATATGACATAAACACACTCTTAAAATTCGTTTGAAACAGTAAATAAGCATTCTCTTGCTTGAAAAAAATAGTAACTTGACCAAAATTAATGTCCAAGTTCTTGCGCTTATTTACGCAAATGTTTGTTTCAAAATTACTATTTAGATTTTATCCTTATTTTCAAAAATATTGTGCAAATATAGCCCTTAAAAAAATTACCCTTCTAGACAACCTTAGGCTTAGGTCTAATGTTTGCTCATATATTGATCAACCTTACAAACAAAATATTAGATTGTCATCTTAAGCTTGCAATAACTTATAAAATTTTCGGATTGTCGCTAATGTTTCTCATAAGTTGTAAAGAAATTAAAAAATGGTCATCTCTAACTATCCCAAAAGGGACAATAACAATTTTTTTTGAAGTTCTTGCATCCACTACTCGACTTTTCTTTCATTACTTGAACCATTTTCCTTTCATTTTCTTCAAAACCCCAAAATTTCAGAGAGAACACTCTTTTTATTCGAGAAGTTAGTTATGCGAGATAAGAACTCTTATAAAGAGTGTAAGTGTTTGGTTTTAAAATGCCGATATATTTGCAATTGCTTCATATTACAGGAGTATTTTCTGTAATTTACCCTAAATGTTATTATACACAATAACTAATATTACTAATGAACAATACAGTCAGACCTTTCAATAATCGCATCAC